TAGAGACAGGGTTTCACCATGTTGACCAGGATGGTCTCGATCTCTTGACCTCGTGATCCACCCGCCTCGGCCTCCCAAAGTGCTGGGATTACAGGCTTGAGCCACCGTGCCCGGCGAGCTTTTGATTTTTCACTACTTTTCATCTCCCCCCATGGCCAAGTGTACATTTGAGAATTTTGTTTTTTTTTTGAGATGGAGTCTCACTGTTACCCAGTCTGGAGTGTAGTGGTGCAATCTCAATCTTGGCCCACTGCGACCTCCACCTCCTGGGTTCAAGTGATTCTCCTGCCTCAGCCTCCCAAGTAGCTGGGATTACAGGCTACCATGCCTGGCCTGATTTTTCATTTCTCTGCCTCATGTATAATACCTGGCAATAATATCTATTGATTCATACAGGCTAGGTCTTGAACAAAAAAACAGAGGCTGCCGGGTGTGGTGGCTCACCCCTGTAATCCCAGCACTTTGGGAGGCTGAGGCGGGCAGGTCACCAGAGGTCGGGAGTTCAAGAGCAGCCTGGCCAATATGGCAAAACCCCATCTTTACTAAAAACACAAAATTAGCTGGGTGTGGTGGCACATGCCTGTAATCCCAGCTACTTGGGAGACTGAGGCAAGAGAATCGCTTGAACTTGGGAGGCGGAGATTGTGGTGAGCTGAGATTGCACCATTGCACTCCAGCCTGGGCAACAAGAGCAAAACCATGTCTCAAAAAACAAAACAACAAAACAGAGACTGGGTGTGGTAGCTCATGGCTGTAATCCCAATAGTTTGGGGTGGCCAAGGCAGGAGAATTGCTTGAGCCCAGAAGTTCAAGACTAATCTGGACAACACAGTGGGATCCCGTCTCTACAAAAAATTTAAAAAATTAGCTGGGCGTGGTGGTGCACACCCGTAGTCCCACTTGTTTGTGAGGCTGAGATGGGAAGATAGCTTGAGCGTAGGAGGATGGAGCCAACGCACTCCAGCATAGGTGACAGACAGAGTGAGGCTGCGTCTCAAAATAAATAAATAAATAAATAAAATAAAATAAAATAAAAAAAGAAAAGAGAAAAAAAAGAAGCTGGGTGTGGTGGCTCACACCTGTAATCCAAGCACTTTGGGAGGCCAAGGTGGGTGGACCGCTTCAGCCCAGGAGTTCGAGACCTGCCTGGCCAATATGGAGAAACCATGTCTCCATCAAACACACAAAACAAAAACAAAAATTAGCTGGGTGTGGTGGCGAGCACCTGTAGTCTCAGCTGGAGGCTGAGGTGGAAGGATTGTTTGATCCTGGGAGGTGGAGGTTGCAGGGAGCTGAGATCTTCACTGTACTCCAGCCTGGGCAACAGAGCGAGACCCTGTCACAAAAAACAAAAAACAAACAAAGGAAAAACTAGTGCCTTCTGTTTAATGAGTGCTGTGATGTCTGATAAGTTTATGAGAAATATTTTCTTAGGTCACGGTATGTTCTAGGTAAGATGGGGCAAATGGCAGAATAAAACAGAGGCTCTTTGCGTACACAGGTCAGAAAAAGATACTAAAAAGGCATCAGGCAGTTATACCACTGTCTTGAAAGGACTCGCTCCCTCACTTTTCACTTCCGCCTTCCGAAGCAGCCAATGAGTACTCAGCAGTTCGCATCTATCCAAAAAAACTACAAATCCCAGAAGTCAATGCACGGGACGAAGGGCTCATGCATTAATTGGGACTGGTGGGCCCGCCCCTAGACGCGGAACTTCATTTCCCAGGCGTCCCTGGGACTCTTCGATTTTCCTCCGATCGCGCGGTCATTCTCCTCCCGCCCCTTGCTTGCGGTCCTCGCGCCAAGTCGGCGCGCGCGCGCGGTGCACGTAGTGCGCGAGTGACGCATAATATGTGGGCCGCTGTGGAGCCGTGGTCGCGTTGTGTGTGTGTGTGAGTGGAGAGTGAGTGCGGGACCTGAGGCTGTGTGTGTGAACTGTGGCCGCTGGCGGGGTCGGGGGGTGGGCAGCGGCGGAGCCGCCTGGGAAGGTGAGTGGGAAATGGAGGGAGGCGGCTCTCCGGGAGGGGCGCGAGGAAGCGGGGCGCGCGGCCGGCTGGGCGGCAGAGTGGGCGCTGAGCTGGGGGAGGGGCAGCACCTGCCTGGGCCGCCGGCGAGGAGGGGGCGGGCCGGTCTGCCAGGAGGCTGGGCCCGGGGCCTGACAGGACTTTTCCGCCTCTTGATTCCTGTCCCGGGGGCGGGGCCTCCACGTTCTTCCTCCACTCCCCAAGAGAGGCTTCCCGAGAGTAACTCTTCCGCCCGGAGTGGGGGCGCGGGGTGTGTCCGCCCCTACCTGGAGGAGGGGCACTGTTTGATTCCCTTGTTATCTTTTTCCTTCCAATCCTGTTAGTCTCCATACCGTACCGGCTGGGGGGCTCCATCTTCCGTACTATACGGCGGCCCCCTTCCCGGACTGTGTCTCCGCCTCCAGCTCTAGTCACCTGGGTGGGCTCTCTCTTCTGTCGGCCTGGTGCCACCTCTCCCTGCACCCGGCCGGCTCTTGGACCGTGCGACGGAGGCGGAGCTTTCCGGACACTCCTCCCATCCCAATGAAGGAGGAAAGCGTTGGAGAGAGAGGTGGGTGGGTCCCACAGCCTGGAGCCAAACCTCAGAGTGCCCGCCAAGCTTCCCGGGAGTCTATTTCCCGGGGTCATAGTATTTTTCAACTGGGGTGTCAGAAGCGTTTGCTTAACTTCTCTTTCTAGACGGTTTTTGTCTGACTTCCTCTTACTGCAGTGGCAGCGCTCTGGCTTTCCATTTGTTGAGGAAATAGTTTTGGAGTGTTTGTATTAGTTGTTTTTTGAGTCACAAATGACTCGTCCTTGGCCATGTCATGTTGGTCTCAGTTTTTCCTTACCCTGTTTTTTCTATGAAGCCTTGTAATTAGTCTACATGTTTCAATATTTTGTTAGCAGCATCTTTCTGTTTAAAATGCATTAACATACAAAATGAGAGATTAATTGGTAGTGTCATCTTGCATTTTCTTTTTCCAACTTACTGGAATTTACCTTTAGTGTTTATGCAAGTGTGTCTATTTAGACTACAGGAATCGTTTTAGTATTTTTCTTCTTGATGATGTGAAGATTTGGATTTTTTATATAGCAGTTATTCATTACCCATTTTTTAGTGGGGATATATTTTTGGATGTTAAAGAGGTAATAGAAAATTTGGGAAATGTAGGGAAATAATTTTGTGCTCAGTATTTCTTGGGGAGTTGCTGAGTACAGTGTTTTACTATTCTGCCTATTACACGGTTTTTAAATTACTTTTATTCATTTTTTTTTTTTGTAGAGACAGTGGTCTCACTGTGTTGCCCAAGCTGGTCTTAAACTCCAGGCATGAGCCACTATACCTGGCCTAAAAGCTGTTTTAGATACAGGATCTTGCTCTGTAGCCTAGGCTGGAGTGCAGTGGTGTGATGATAACTCATTGCAGCCTCCAACTCCTAGACTCAAAGGATCCTGCCTCAGCTTCCTGGGTAACTAGGACCATTGGCACAGGTTACCATGACTGGCTAATTTTAAAATTTTTGTGTAGACTATTTCTTGAACTGTTGCCCAGCGGACCTCAAGCAGTCCTCCTGAATTGGTCTCCCAAAGTGCTGGAATTACAGGCTTCAGCCACTGTGCCGGGCAAGTTTTTAAATTTAATAGACCAGGAATCTCATAGAATGAACCACATATTAGTTTGAGGTGTTTGGACTGGTTTATTACCAATTGT